TGACCGTCGGTTGAAGAGACTTCAAAGGTCAACGAGGAACCACAAAATGTTGTGTGTGGGTGTCATTTGTTTGTGTCTTGTTTCAGGGACACCCAAAGGAGACACACAAGTTATTTTTGTTTCGATTGGCAATGCAATCTCGGTCGTCGGAGCCAGAGAGAGCTGGTATGTCGATGTATTTTGAAAGAGGGAGCCGTTTGGATCTCCCCAGCAGTTCTGGCTCAAGACATGGTAGTTAGCCCCAGCAACAAATTGGGCAACTGATTGTGGAGGACCCCGTTTTTTAATTCTCAAATCTGTTTTGAACCGGGAAATGGACATAGTGCCTCTTTTTGAGGGGAATTTCCCTGTGGCTGGTGTTCAAGGGAAACCAAGAGGAAGTTAAAGGAAGCCTATCATATGTTTGCGTCTCTATAATTCAAAGGCGCAGGTGCGCATGTGTTCTTAGGTCTAGCGGACGACCAGGTCCACCATGCCAGGACAATGCGGGGAAGGGTCTCAGACCCGTTTCCACATGGGAGTGGATCAAAAGGTCCTTACATGGGATGACCATTCAGGGCAGCATGGGAACAGTTGGCCCATGACATTTGGGAGCCAGGAATATTGATCCATCCTACATGTGGGTGTGTCCTTATTGAGAATACCCCTTTTTGTCGCTTTTTAGAAGGAAAACCAGAAGGAACACCACCTAAAAAAAAAGGCAGACCCATTTGGGCTAATCCAAACACTCTTTGCCAGCTGAGAAAGAGGATCACCCGGCAAAGCAGGTGGTTCTTGGGTGTCATTATCCTTCAAGGAAAGGTGGCGAAAAGCTTCCCTCAGAACTGCAGTGTCCAAAAGGTGCTTGTATGCTTTGATTTGTAGGGACTTGCGCGGGGACCAGGGGAAGCCATTGCAAGGATTGCAGCCAACAGATTCAGCGGCAAGGGACAGCCTTTCACTCAAGGATTTGTGTCCCATTGCGATTGGGTTCTCCCCAATCGCCAAAAGCTCATTGTCCAATCTCCGCATTCCCTCGGCCTCGGATCTGGGAAGCCGGATCTGCCGAAATGAGGTGAATGGGTTCTTATTCCTACGCACGGTTCCTTAGATCCCACAATGTTCAGCAAGGGACCAACCAGGCACTGAGGGCCCCAGCCCTGGTTTTAGTCTCCCAGCGTGGCTTCAGCTACATGTTTTGGCGAACTGGAAAACGAAACGGGAAACTGAGATATCGCAATCCCCATTTGGGACAAATTGGTTGAATATAGGGGAACACCATCTATCACATTCCTTAATGTCGTTTAATTATTCAACATCTTTTGTTGCCTTAAGGACAACCCCCAACATTGGTTGGCGCTAAGGTAGGTTCAGGAGGGAGGTTCTTGATGTTGTGCACGTGCCAAGAAAAAAACTCAGCTGTTTGGAAGATGTTTGTCTCCCAAATCAACAAGTGCACAGTTGAGTGAAAGCAGATGGGTCCGTCTTTTGGAGGATTTGGACCCGCGAAAATGGCGCAACGGTTTTCCTCTTGGTTTTCCTTCAAAACTGCACAAGAAGGGGTACCCTCCAGAAAGCTTTGCTGAGCCACATCTACCCGGAATCGCGCCATCTACCAACTCGCCCATGGTACCTCTGACGGAGGGTCTCTTGAGGAAATCAATGTTCGAGGTGCGATCTTGAGATGCTATGCTTTTGGAAGAGCAACTTTTGACCGTTCCCCAAATGTGATCCGCACCCCCATTGGCCATTGTAGTAGGTGACAAGGCCTATTTTTACCTTTGACCATGTTAATAGACCCAAAACTCAGCTCCGAAATCGAGCACATGTTGCCCCAAATTATGATTGTCCTTTTTGTTTCCTTGGAAGCCAGCCTGAACAGGATGCCCTCAAAAATCATGCACCCAAATGGCATAAACCACCATTTCCTCCTAAACATGATTTGAGCCACAGGTTCAAATGGAATCCATCAGGTGTTGCTAGGGATAATCTCTTTGGACCCCCACTTCCGGGATTCCACAACATACCCTCCAACAATCATTGAAGCCGACGATGGGAGAGTTTTGGGAGACGAATTTCCAGTTGTGGAACCCCAGCAAAATGGTTCACAGCACCGTTTTCGGTTCAGTGCCCCACGCGTCGTTGTTGTTGTTCTGTAGGAGGGCGACCTGCTGGAGATGCGGATGGAGAGCCTGACAAGCTCCGGCCAGGCGTGAGCGAGCGATTGAGCGAGCGGTGAGTCTGATCTATGGCCCAAATCCATTTGGGATGCGACTGGTTGTGTACCACTTCCGCTGGACTTGATATTCTGTGTTCTGATATTTTTCGGGTTTGCACCATTTCAGTTGCGAACAAGAAGCTCTGACTTTTTGTGGGCCAATCCACTCGATCGGAAGTGAGTGTGGCACGCCCCGGAAAGAGGCCCCATAGCTTTCAGCTGTTGGAATATGAATAGCTGCGCAAGTGTAATTCGATCACGTTTGAAACTCGTCGTTCTTCCTGTGGGTGGCAAACACACACACACACACCCACCGGGGTGCGGGTTATAGATGGGCATTCACAAAGCTTCCAGGTTTGCGGGACCAAAAGTCAGTGGGCGAAAAGGGGCGCTGCTCAAATGGTTTGAGACATGTTTTGGAAGGGTGCTCTTTTTTTTGGCGGGAATATGCCGGAGGGGATGTTTTTATTTCACGAACGCTCGCTGATGCGGATTGCAGTGAGGTTCTTCATATACCTTTCTGAGTGTAAGAGCCTAAGTATCTAGAATGGGGTTGCGTAAGTCACGACCAAATTGAGTATGATCATGGTCCAAGGGTTAGTAATTAGCAGTTGTAGTGCGGTTGAAGCAACTCAGGCAAGCAGTAAACAGCACTGAGTAGGCTTGGGGGTTGAATTAACTGCTTCCCGACTGTGGCAACTGCACTTGCAAGGTTAGGGATTTCGCATAGAACATGGCTCCCTAAATGATTTGTGTTGGTTTAAGCATCACCTTTTGGGCCAATTTGCAGATGAGCTCGTCCTTTAGGTGTGCTGCTGCTAAGTATGCTGAAATATGGGCGCCTTTGCGACTTCCTGCAGCCTGTTTCGCTCTCTGCGAGCGAAGGGAAGCTCTGGAAAGCCAAAGTCAGATCGGGCACAAACAAGGTGACGATGCCCGTAACGCACCCTGCGTTCTCAGGGCACGGTCTGGGCGTTCTGACCACAAACAAGGCAAAGGAGACTTTGCTGCCAAGCCAAAACTCCTCGCCACCGTGGTCTCTCACATGGTTGTGTTTGTCTTGTGCTCGAGCAGTTTAGAGTCGAACCTGCTAAGCAAGAACGTGTTGGAAGGGCTGGGGGTATCCAAATCTACCTTTCAAGAGGGAGCCTGGGGGAAGCTACTTGGAGGTTTGGTTGGGGGGGATGTCTTGTGTTCTGCTTCCGCATGCTTAAATCTAAATATATTTGCTATTACACCCTGGGATGCTAAAGCGTAGAAGCATTGCTCTGAACCCTCAGAGGCTTAGAGGGCGCAATACCAGGGTGTAACTCAGTGGATGGACGAAATCCTGCACCGCTTTTCAATCCACGGGCAACCATTGTTTGTTGGTATTTGCAGGCCAATCATTCGAGGGTTTCTTAGGTTTGGTGGGGTGCCGCGAAGTGGATTTGGTCCATCCACAGTAACTCGCCTCGGCCACTCCGCTTGGCCACCCGCAATGCAGGCCTTAGGCCGCTTGGGCCCGAGCCGCTGGGTGGCCCGGATCCCCAAGCCGAAACGAGTTTGTTTTCTCTTGTTTTTCGGATGAGTTGCTGGGCTTCTTGCTTTCCAGTTGGCAGTCTGGTCTCACTTTTTGAGTTCCTGGACTTTGAGCTTCTTGGAAAAACAATTTTAGCGGCGGATCAAAAGCTCGAATTTTGTTTGGCCCATCCGCTCAGGAAGTGAGGTTACCACTGTTATAGTTGCTTTCCACTCTTTAAAGACCAAAAATAAGATGGATCGAAGGGTTGATTTGGGCTATGCTTACCCAAAATGTGTGAAGCATTGGGAGTGGCCAGTCGCATTTGGCAATTTGGAGTGCATGTGCTTGACTCTTTAGGCTAAGCCTTTGCCTGTTGGCCAGATGAGAAACCGCTCAGAAAATGTTGGGAGTTGTTCTGGGCCGACATAGTTGAGGAGCTTCTTGGTGGGAAGGGAATTGGGTTTGGATTGAGGTTTAGATTTGGACTTGAAGCCCTGTCTTTCACCAAACCACCAACCCAAACCACCAATTAGGGGTTATCTGAAACACGGGACCGCTTCGATGGCGCTTGTAATACGGAAGAAACAAATGGGTCAAAAGGCACATTTTACATTTGTATGGGTCGGGTGTTCCTTTTCAGAATCAATCAAGCAAGAAAAGATGCCCTTTTGAGTTTGCCTCCCTTTGAACTCAACCAACTGTTCCGTCACGTTCGCGAGAAGCAAAGAATCAGCTGCAGATCTGTGCTGTAGTGCTGTTTAGCTCTCTTCAGCGGGAGCCATCCAAAATATCACTGAGTGGATCGCACGGGCGTTAGAGGTGACCCTTTTTTCTGTGGGTTTGCCTTGAGTTGGCCACCCCAAGCCCTTCACATGCCTTCGGATTGAGCCGGAGGACCGTAAGAGGAACGAACCCCTGAAAAAGCCACCCCCCACACCCCTTGTGCAAGGGCACTTAGAGTCCACTTTGCCAAACCGGTCGCACAATACACCCAAAGCGGCAACCATCCCCCCCTGAGTTTTTGACCAACACCCTTTGGGAACCCCCTTTTGGTTGAAGTTTAAAAGGGAAACCAACAGGAAAACCCAAATCCATCCAGTGGATCCTAGTTACACTTCTAGTTGGTAACCCTTCGTCATTGTCCTTTTGGTTTTGAAAGGCTGGCAAGCCCTTTACCCACAAAGCTCGGTGAATACGGATCCGGGCTAAAGCAGCTTCCATCTGAGATGAATATTCTTTGTTTGCCCCTGGTGGCTTCAAGGTGGATTATTTTATTTGTTCCAGGGGACGAAAACGGAAATGGAGGCTTGGACGAGACACCCACCGGCGCACGCCTCTACTGCCAGGTGATGGTCTTTGGGGCGTTGCCTTTGGAGCTGGTCCAGCCACGGGACCCGGCGAATCCGGCGAGCGACTGTTGCGGCTCTTGCGACTCGAGTCGAGTCAAACTCTGAGACTTGAGGGAGACGCAGACACATGGCGGCTCTGGTCGTTTTCGTTCATGTGCATATAGATATACATATATATATATACATATATATATATATATATATATTAGTCTTTATTTTTATAATGATGTTTGTGTGTTCTGCATGTTGATTTCTGTTGTTTAATTTGTTTTGCTTTGTTTATGTTTGTTCTGTTTGTGGTTCCTTTTTTCACCGGTTGGTGCCCTTCCGAACATATCTTTGAACCGGTGACGTGGCTGACCTTGGCAGATGACTTTTGTCCTTCTTGTGGAAAGTGGGAGCAACCTTGCACAGTTTCATCCTTCTTACCCTTAAGCAACGGGGTCAAGAAACTGGTGTCCCTTTCAAACACAAGCAGGATCTGTTCGACAACAGATGCCTAGAGTGACCCTTTAAGCATGGAGTCAAGAAACCCATGTCTCATGAAGTCTCGCCCTTCAGGCTGAAGATCGTCCGGAACTTCCGAGGACGGTCCGAGGCGGGCAGGATGCGCCTGCCTGGTTTCTCCACCCGAAATATCGTTGGGTCTGTCGATTTTTGAGGCGAAGGTTACCCTTTTGTGGTGGTGAAGGGAAACCACAGGAAAACCGAGATCCATTCTGGGCTACAGAAAGATGCTCCCAGTTGGTCATCTACCAAACGGGTTACGGCCGTAGTTTTAAAGGGTAAGGAGACTCCAGGTAGCTGCTTTTGGTCCAGACACTTTACCCTGAAAACTATCACTGCTGGGGCAACTTCCAAACACTTTACCCAAGATTGCCATCACTGCTAAGAAAACAACAGCAGCTGGCGATTCACGTGTGTCTTTGTCTGGGACCATCCATTTGGAGTTGGCTTTCAACTTTTGAAAACACATCACAACTGCGGTTGTTCAAACTGTAGCTGTTTGTGTTGATTCGAAGTTGCCTTACCCGGAGCCGTGATTTAAATTCATTAGTGCAGACCTTGCATTCCAATGTTAGTCTGCCATCTCCCTTTTCTGCTTTGCAAGGCCAGACAAATGGTTGGAGCCGATCCCCCCTCATAAATAATAGGGGTGTTTGGGGGAACCACCAGGCTTCATCCGCAAGGTCCATGATATTGGATGTTTCCCGTCCAAGCGCCAAGGGGTTTAGCTGCAGCGTCTGAAAATTTCCTCTGGTTTGCATTGCGGTGACGTCCCTTGGGCATTGCCACACCACTCGGGGTGAATGTTTCCGCAGGTTCCCTTTAATCAGGGTTGGGGATTTCAAGTCCAGGTTTTTGAGGGAAGGGACAGACACCACCTCTTAAGTTCCAAATCACCGGGCTCCAGACCGCCCTGTGAGGGAAACCTGGCTGAGTGCTGTTTTCGACGAACTTGGCCAAAGCCGAAGCTGAGTTGTGACTCACTTGCCCAAAGCGAAGCAGGCTTTTGACCCTTTGGGTTTCCCCATGTTGGTCCATGGCCAGTCATGGCCCCTAAATGTTTATGTTTTATTTATTTCTGGAACCCTTGGGCAACTGAGCTACAGTGGTCGTGTCACAGAACAGCCTGATGTCCTCAAGAGGCCCCGAAAAGGCGAAGCCTACTTGATGAAAGAACCCATCCCGGCGCAAAAAATAACACGTTGGTTCTACCATGTCAAGTTGCTCCTGTTCGGCCTTTTGTTTGTGTGTCGCTCAGACGAAGATCACTGATTTCCCCTTCAAAAGTTCCAATTTACTGGTGGTTTCCACTACACCACTCGCCACTTTTGGAGGCTACAAAAAAGAGGAAATGGCTCATAAGACTTATTTTTTTTAATTCTCCCCTGTGGATTTTAAAGGGAATCGATTTCACGAGTGGACAAATATGTCCTCATTTTTTTCCAGGGGACGAAAGCGCAAACGGATGGCTCAGCGCGAATCGAGGCGCGGCTGCAGCGGGTCTTGGAGGCCTCTCCAGAGCGAGTGGAGCCCAGGCGAGCGGAAGCCGCGGCTTCGGATCGACGTCGACCGTGGGCTGTCAAAGCGTCCTATGCCCAATGTACATCACATTGCACGTATGTATATTACATGTGCACGTATATATATATATATATATACATATATATATATATATAGCTATGCACATGTAACTAAGTATATATACATATGCTCAGGCCCCCCCTCACCTTTTGGGTGCTGTTGAAATGTCTCAAGGTCAATAAACAAACTTCTGAAGAGAATCTTGGGTTTGGCTCCATTTGTTGGTTTTTGGTTTTCTCGATTTTTTTGTTTTTGGGTTTTCCTTGAGTTTGTTTAATCAGAAACAAACAACCCAAGGCTTTTTTGGTTTTCCAAGTGGGTGGGCCCAGAAAGCAAAAAAAAGGACTGACCATACTTTAGAGCCTCCGGCTCAGTCCGCCGACATTGTCCTCTCCCTTTTCTCCTTCTTCCTCTCTTCCTTGTCTCCCTTGTGTGTTCTGTCGTCCTCTCTCCCTCCCTCTGCTCCCATCCTCCCCATCCCCCCAAGCCTCTCTCTCCCCACTCTCCCTCTCTCGTATGTATGCATGCATGTACATATGTATGTATGGATGTATGTATGTATGTATGTTGTATGTATGTATGTATGTATGTATGTATGTATGTATGTATGTATGTATGTATGTATGTATGTATGTATGTATGTATGTATGTATGTATGTATGTATGTATGTATGTATGTATGTATGTATGTATGTATGTATGTATGTATGTATGTATGTATGTATGTATGTATGTATGTATGTATGTATGTATGTATGTATGTATGTATGTATGTATGTATGTATGTATGTATGTATGTATGTATGTATGTATGTATGTATGTATGTATGTATGTATGTATGTATGTATGTATGTATGTATGTATGTATGTATGTATGTATGTATGTATGTATGTATGTATGTATGTATGTATGTATGTATGTATGTGTATGTATGTATGTATGTATGTATGTATGTATGTATGTATGTATGTATGTATGTATGTATGTATGTATGTATGTATGTATGTATGTATGTATGTATGTATGTATGTATGTATGTATGTATGTATGTATGTATGTATGTATGTATGTATGTATGTATGTATGTATGTATGTATGTATGTATGTATGTATGTATGTATGTAATGTATGTATGTATGTATGTATGTATGTATGTGTAATGTATGTATGTATGTATGTATGTATGTATGTATGTATGTATGTATGTATGTATGTAATGTAATGTAATGTAATGTAATGTAATGTAATGTAATGTAATGTATGTATGTATGTATGTATGTATGTATGTATGTATGTATGTATGTATGTATGTATGTATGTATGTATGTATGTATGTATGTATGTATGTATGTATGTATGTATGTATGTATGTATGTATGTATGTATGTATGTATGTATGTATGTATGTATGTATGTATGTAATGTATGTATGTATGTATGTATGTATGTATGTATGTATGTATGTATGTATGTAATGTAATGTATGTATGTATGTATGTATGTATGTATGTATGTATGTATGTATGTATGTATGTATGTATGTATGTATGTATGTATGTATGTATGTATGTATGTATGTATGTATGTATGTATGTATGTATGTATGTATGTATGTATGTATGTATGTATGTATGTATGTATGTATGTATGTATGTATGTATGTATGTATGTATGTATGTATGTATGTATGTATGTATGTATGTATGTATGTAATGTAATGTAATGTAATGTATGTATGTATGTATGTATGTATGTATGTATGTATGTATGTATGTATGTATGTATGTAATGTATGTATGTATGTATGTATGTATGTATGTATGTATGTATGTATGTATGTATGTATGTATGTATGTATGTATGTATGTATGTATGTATGTGTATGTGTATGTATGTAATGTATGTATGTATGTATGTATGTATGTATGTATGTATGTATGTATGTATGTATGTATGTAATGTATGTATGTATGTATGTATGTATGTATGTATGTATGTATGTATGTAATGTATGTATGTATGTATGTATGTATGTATGTATGTATGTATGCATGTATGTATGTATGTATGCATGTATGTATGTATGCATGTATGCATGTATGTGAGTATGTAAGTAAGTAAGTAAGTAAGTAAGTAAGTAAGTAAGTAAGTAAGTAAGTAAGCATGTAATGTATGTACGTATGTATGTATGTGTGCATGCATGCATGCATGCATGCATGCTTACATACATGTATGCATGTATGTATGTATGTAATGTATGTATGTATGTAATGTCATGTAATGTCATGTAATGTCAATGTAATGTCCTTGCACTTCCCCTTTGCTCCCCAGTATTTCCCGCAAAAAAAACACGGTTTTTCCAGCGTTTTCGCAAAGAGGACGTCCAAAAACATTGAGTTTTTCCAGATTTTCGGCAAAAGGATGCAGGAAGCCCAAGCCAGCAAAAAAGCCGGCAGGGGGAATCGAGCCTGGGACCCCTGTTTTGCGACACCGGCTCCCCGAAGACTACGTTTAGTGGAACGTCATCAAATTGCCGCGCGGTACGTGGGGGACCCCCCCCCCCCCAAAAACCTACGTAATAGACGTCGGGCGGGGGGGGGTTAGGGGGGGGGTTATCCTCTATCCTCTAGTAAGTATCCGACACGCCGAGCAATGTCGGCGGATATCTAGATATGTGTATACACATATATACATATATATACGTGTTTATATTATGTTTACACATAGGAGCCTATTTATGTGTAGACTCTGTGCACATTTGAACAAATCGTTTCTGCCTCTTGTAACTATATACTTATACATACTCCTCACATGACGCTGAAATACTCTTTTACATTGCGCACGTAAACTTGCGAGTACTTTTCATGCAACTCTCGTATACTCCACACCACTACAGCCTGGCATATCCCTTGGAGGAATTTTGGGCTGACCTAAGTCACCAAATCGAACCTTTTTGACCGGCTTTTGGTTTCCCGACTTAGGAGGCAGCTTCCTCGAAAGGTCAAGTCTTTGGTTTCGATACGGAAACACCCTGGAACAGATTCAATTGGCGTGGCGATTTTGAACCGGACTAGCACTCCGGAACACCTCTAAACCACTCCAACCCGCCCCCTCTGTTTGAGTGAAGCTATTTTGGGGCCCCGATCTGTGCCAATATCTTTCGCCGAAGACCAGCACGCGCTGTCGCCAGTTGGGACTTGTTGGCATTCTGAGGCTTACAAAACCGGCTTTTGGGTCACCTTAACCCTTGAATTAGATGGCGGGTTTGGAGTTTCGGGGCGCTTTCCCATCTACAAATCCCCAAGCCACAAACGAGCTAAACCCTTTGGGCTGCCTCACGACAACGTTTGGCTTCAACAAATACAACGTTACCCAGCATCTTTGCTATGAGGCTGAGCGTTTTTCTTTGTTGGCCACTTTTCCGCTCTATTCTGGCAAGCAACAAACATAAGTTACTCAATGAGGGCATGTCTTTTCTGATTTGAGGCTCTTGGCTTTGCTTTGGTTAGGGAAGCGCAAGGGGGACCACCATTTCAGGGTTTCAAAAAGAATCCACCCATCTGGTCGTGTCGATTTTAGGGGACCCCTCCAAAATCACGGGTTTTCCTCTTGGTTGTCCTTGAAACCAAGCAAAGGGTTGTTTCCAACTCCAAAAAGACCAGCCCTGCCTGGTGCTTCTGGGGGCTCCCGCTGGCCGTCCTTTTTGGGTTGGTTTGGGCCTTTCCGGTGCCAGGTGCCCCATCTTTTCCACCTGCTCCGGGTGTCAGTATCAGCGTGGGCGCCCAGAGAGCCACTCGGCACACAGCGCTGCGCCGTGCACAGCGCAGCGTACACAGCGCAGCGTACACAGCGCAGTGCAAGCGCAATACGCAGCATGTCGCACTCATTGCAAGGCGCTTACTGCACAACAGGGTACTCACTGCGACACCTAGATCTTTAGACTTGAACAACATTTAATCGGGAAATGACTCGGAAATAATGTCTTTTCCCTGGCCATTTCAAGTTGGGTCAACTGTCAGATGTTGTGGTCTCTGTTGGGACACCCAACCTGGCTAGACTGTTGCCTTCAAACTTGTTGCAACTGTCGAGACTCTTGTCCGCGGTTCAAGAAGGTTTCATGACTCACTGAAGAGCCGTGCTTCCCGGAACCTGAAACAACCATTTGCACATGGTGGTTTCCCAAACGGCCATTTTCCATCAAGAAAGCAATTTCCATAGGACATGGTTGCTTGGAGAAACCCACCATAACGGTTGTTGCAGGTCCCAGGTTCATGTGGGGACCCTGCTTTTCCGAACCGCACACCAGTTCTTCGACCTTGGTTTTGCTTTTTGCTTTATGGGTCAAAACAACCGGCTGTCCAAAAAACAGGATCCCCGCTTCACGTTCCCTTTCTCAACAAGTAAACTTCTTGTAGTTCCCTGTCTGACCCAGCCGAGCAAACCGCCTGGCTGTCGAGTCGAAGGCACCTGAGCTACCCATCACAGCTCCACTGGAAGCGAGAGCATGTGCAGCAGGCCGGGCGGCGACCAGGTTCGTGGGCCTCATGAGCTCAGACAGAAAGGTCCAAAGGTAATGGAATTATATTGGAATTCCAATTCAAATAGGAGTTCTTTGGAAAACCATTTTTTTGTTCGATTTTAAATAGAATTTAACTAGGAATTGTTTTTATGGGTTGGAACCTCCAAAGCTGGTCATGAATTTCCCCCACCCAAATTGTTGATGTCCAAACCGCTTTGGGCATCTTTGGTGCCCCCCCCCCCCCCGAACCCCCCACCCCCCGTTCAAACACAGCTGGGGAAGAACAAAATAGGGGTAGGGAGTTTGGGGGGCGGGTAGTATAAATTGATTCCCATGGTTGCAAGGGGGGGGCGAGTGATTGTCGGCGTTGTCTTTTCCCCGTTGCTGCTGAAATGCCTTTGTCCTGGGTGGGGCTTCACTGTTTCTTGGTTGCGACCCCACCGATCACTGGCCCAAGAACTACTCTAGTCGTTTTTCAAGGGAGTGCCCCAGTGGCCCAGTGGTGCCCTTTTTTTCCTTGTTTTGGGGAAGGGTTCCCTTTCAAAGCAAGGAGGCCCTTCTTTTCCCCATGGCCACTGGGCATCTGAGGTGCGGTTGGGGTGAACTCCAGTCTTCCGCGATTGGGAGGGGGTCACAATCAGCAAGCTACCTTCAGCCCTGCCCGCATCCACAAACATTCACCCTGTTTGGAAAGAGGACTCAGTAGTTTTCTGGAGGGGTTTGGCTCAGGAAACGGACCCCGTTCGATCTCAACGCGAAGCAAACACCAATCGCTTTGGACAGGCCCCTTCCGCGACCAAACTTTAACATGGCAAAGCTTACTTCTAATCCAAATCCAGCCTCTGCGACTTGGTTTTGTTTGGCGCCTGTGCTGGCTCTCGCCTATCCCCGAATCAATGTATTGAAGACGAGGCGCACTGCAACAAACAGGGCCCTTCCCCTCACTCCTTTTCCTTGTGGGTAAAAGGGGTCTGCAGTACATTGGTGACCCTTAAGCTTGGGAGTCACGCTCAAAGTCCCAACCTGACTTTGCTAGGTCCCCCAGTGCCCTCTCTCACCCCTTTATTGGTTGGGAGGGTTGCCCTACTAAAATAGACTACAGAAAAAAATCGGGTACCCTTATTCTAACCTCTCTACTGGAGGACCTAGTTTGTGATGATATCGATTTGTCTGATCCGTCAGCATTTGGCTCAGAACGCCACACCAAGGCGCCTTTTTGGCTGGCGCCTTTTAGCAAGCGCCCGGACGGTTCCTGCGAACCCAATAAGGTGTTGGGAACATGATCGCCGTGCGACTCCGGCGCAAAACGGGCGGCTTGCTGCTGCTTCTTGCCTGCTTTGGAAGTTTGCCAATGTTTGTTGTTGTTTTTTTTGTGTGTGTGTGTGTGTGTGTGTTTGACTCTTTGACCTTTTGGCGAATGTGTGGTTCTCCAATAGTCAACCAGCAAAGTATATTACAAGACTTGGCTTGCCTAATTGGGTTTTCGCCTTTTTGATGTTCCATTGATTTCTCATTCAACCAGAGACACGCTAAATGTATTGAAAGGGGGTCGGTTTGGCCAAGGCTGATTGCAGCCTTTGCGGCAGGCAGCTGCTTTGTGGCCCCAGCAGTACTGGAGCAGGACAGTTGTCTGTACGTTTAGTGCCAATCGAATCCCGAACGACCTAGACAGTCCCAGCCACCAGCTTTCAGTTCACCCTCCAATGGTTATGGGTTGATGGTTGACCCCAACCAAAGGGGTTATGGGTCGGGTTGACGGTTGGTGCAGCCCTTTCAGTTCATGGCATCACTCACGCCGGCCCCTCAAACCGATGGGCAGTTTCCTGCATTTCATCGGTCTTGTCTCAGCTTCTTTAGTCTCCGCTTCTTTTGCTACCATGGTCCGAAATATGCACCCCTGTTGGTTTTACATGGAATCTATCAAAACATGTTTGTTTGTGTTTATTATATGATTATTGTTATTAGTAGTAGTTATTATTATTATTATTATTATTATTATTATTATTATTATTATTATTATGTGTTTGTTTCATTTATTTTTTACAAAACAAAAGCGAAAGTTGGGAGTTGCCGACAAGGTGTCCCGGACGAGCCCCTTTTTCTCCCCAAACCCGGGGGAGAAAAAGCAAATGGACCCTCAGACTACCTGGAGTCTCCTTCTGACCCCTTAAAAAATGGTTAGTCATTACCCAAAAGAATGGGGTGAACCCATTTTTGATTCGGGTCATGGAGACTCCAGGTACACGAAAAAAATGGTTATTGCATGTTATTGCGCAACAATTGCGGGGCGATGTTCAACAGTGAAGGGTAGTTTGAGAGTTCAGGGCATATTTTTGACCACGGCTCAGTGGAGTTTTTTTTTAAGCTTTGGGTTCGATGGGTCTAGATGTTTGGAGCGGCCCTGGAGTTCAGAGTTCAGAGTTCCGGGTTCCGGAGGCAGCTGGGGATATTGTTTGTGCTCATGCGGTTTTCCAGGCGAAACCAAGGCTAGGTCCCCCGGCTAGGTGCCCTCTCTCACCCCTTTTTTGGGGGAGGGTTCCCCTACTAAAATAGACTACAGAAAAAGCAGTTGGTGCCCTTACTCCTACCTCTACTGGAGGACCTAGCAAGGGAATTCTGACTTCATGACTTCGGTCTCGCAAATGGCTCACCACACTTGGTTCACCCAGCGGCACTGATCCGCTTTTCATTTGGGGATTTCCGCCATTGGTGCTTGACAACCATCGGACTTTTGCCCTGAAACAGTCCATGTTCGGCCCGGGGGTTCTTTTCTGGACGGCCGGGGGTTGACATACCCTAAAAAACGGCAGAATATATAGCGAAAAACTCAAGGAAACGAGGGTTAAGGGGTTGACAAGCCTTGTGAGGGCTGAATAGCACATTCCCGAATTTCAGTAGGACTGTCCATCCACAGTAGGGTTGCTACCAAATGGGCGTGTCTTTTTTAGGGACCCCCCCAAAACAAAATTGAAACATAAAACAAATAACATGATAATAACTACATGATGGTTTCGCTTTTGGTTTCCAGACCAACATGGGATACCAAGCCTCAAAACGACAGGCCCGGGCATCAAAGAGCAGAACAGGAACCATGTGTTTCAGGTGTTTCGATATTTGGTTTTGATGAAGCATCTTCAGCGGATGGCTGCAAACTCTACTGCTATTGGGTGGGATCTTGAGACTTCAACCTTTTTGGATTCCCCTCATATTTCCTTTTAACCAGCAAAACAAAACGCACTTTTTGCTGGGGTATCTACAGCACCCAAAGACCGCGGTCTACGATAGGCTCGGAAGCCGCTCGCGTGACGCGCGACGCGTGACGCAGGACCAGGGCCAATGGAAAGCCGTGGCCCTCTTCAATGCCGCGTGCTGGGGGTCCTCCTACATCTCCTCCCAGGTCACTTGGGATGGGAGGGGAGGGGAAGAGAAGGAGGGAGGGCAAGGAGGGGGGGGGATCATAGGTGTCCTTTTTGGTTGGTCTTAAAAAATAGAGGGCCCTGGTTTAGATGGGGCTTATTGGAGGCATAGGTGTCCTCTTTGGGGCAAGGTGTCCTTTCTGGTTGGTTTGCTGAAAAAAATAGATGGGTTCCCCTGGTTTAGATGGGGTTTCTAGGTTGATTCCATTTACCATAACCATCGATTTTTCCAAAAGGCCACCTAGGGGGGGAAAGAGATGTTCTCTGCGCTTGGGTGCACTAGCCCCCAACGATTTTCCTCGAGGTCATGGGGTTTAGTTCCTTTTTGGGTTCTGACCACACGCAAAGTTTGGAGCTTTTTGTGGGCCATCAATTTAACCAGGGGAAAATGGGGAATCCGCGAGGTTTGTTCTCTGAGAGATGTTGGGTTAGTGGTTAAAAACCACGCAAGCTTGAATTCGGATTTAGCGACTGCAGGAATCTGGAGTGGTTGGTCTTTCTTGCAAGGGCAAGATCTGCTTTAGGAGGTTCCTTTGATGAGCCTTGCGGCCGTATCAATGGTATTTTATTGCTGACCGCACGAATCCCCCTGTTGTACGGACGTGATCTGCTTTAGGCTGAGTGAAGGTATCGATGGCATCCTGGGGTAGATGTGGGTAGGTCCCTGTAGTTTCACCCGTTTCCCCGGCAATACTCGTGATTCGTTTCCCGAACCCAACATGAGTTGATGCTCCATGTGTGAGTCTTTTTAAAGATTAGAGCCCGCAACATTTCTGCGGCTTCCCCTGTAGTTTCCTCCGATTTTGTGCGAGGCCTAAAATGGAAAAACATGTTACCCAACAAGTTGACATGTGTGGTGGGACAGAACCTTTTCACATTTCAGGTGGCATCCCCTTTCTTTCCCCTTTTCGTGCCTGTGTTTCTCCGTTCTAAGGGGTTAGACATAGCCGGTTTCGGGATGCAATTTTTACAGAGGCTGGGCTTCCCTGCGAGCTCGCCGGTGCAAGCCCCCCAACTGGCCCATATTGTCAAGCCCTGGAATGAGCGTTGTGCAGAACCCACTTGGGGGCACTGGACCAGGAATGGTTGGGTGTACCCTGACTCCAACGTTGCCATGGCACCTGACATGGGGTCCCTACAAGAGGGACATGATCGGGTCTCGATTTTGAGTTCGGGAACTGGGGAGTTCAAGACACGTCCAAAAAACCAGATGCACCTGGGTCCCACTCAATGTGACACAGCCCAAGCTACATATGAAGGGTGTACAACTGAAGTGGGGGACATGTGCCATAGGGGGACCGGAACCCAACAATGTCGGTTGAACCCCTTTGCGACCCCGGACGAATTGGATGTTCCACTCCAAAAGTGGTCAGAACCCCAACTCAAAGGGGAGACCCCCAAATACAAATCAACTAGGGGTTTTGCATCAAGGGGTTCGCGCCTCCATCCGGCAGTCGGCAGTTGAAAGCAAAGGTGACCCTTCAACAGTTTGTTTGATGTCCCTTGCAAATGGGTCACAAAACCCAGTTCTAAACCAGTGGCTTGCGAAATCTACTCCTTCCAAACGTATGTCTCTTTCCAGACCCGATGAAAAGGCCGCCTGTGGTTGATCCCTATCCCCATCTAATTTTCTATTCAAACCGATCAACAGGTGCCGCCTATGGTTCAACCAATCCCATCCCTGGATTGCTGAGGCGGGCATCGACGCCATGTCCTCCGCCGGAGTGGAGGACGCCGCCATCGTCTTCGGCGCCTGCCGCCCCCCGGCGGCGAAATTTTCGCGATGCGCGCGTCGGATGACTCGAGTGACCTGAGGCAACTTTGTCCGGAAAAAAACCGCAAGAGGGGGGGGGGGGAAGAAGTTGGGAGTGTGGACTCATCCAAGGATTTGCAGGGGTTGCGGGGTTGCTCGCAGTACCACATGGACTCAAAGAGGATGCCGTAGCCACCGAGCTTCTGTGGAATGGCCTTTCCGGGCTCCTCAAAGCATCCAACAACCACCTGCTTTCAAGGGAATTTGAACCTGTACCAATCCCCTGGTGCATTTCGTGGGGCCCTTTTTGTGGATTCCGCCGAACTCCATTTCGCACCAAAGCCCAACGATGTCTGCTTCGATTCCCTTTGTAAATGTGGTAACTCAAATTCCCAGCCATGGTAATTTGTCATTTCGTGGTGCGGTCTCGGAGACAGATTTCGCGCGTCCCACGTGCTCAGAACCCGGGTAGATGCAGGTTAAGGGACAATCCCAGCCATAAATGGGTTCGGATATCTGCCTTGTCACTTCTTTACATGCTTCTGGGATTACGACCATTTTGATACCGGGTTTTGCTTATGACTCAAGTTGCCCTTGAATTGGTGGCTTGGATTGATGTTAACCCCTTCTTGACCGCAAATGGGTAACCACCCCTTCGGATTTTGCTTATGACTCACCTCAACTTCCGGCCGCCCCCGGCCCGAGGCTTCGCCCTGGCGGCGCTGCCGTTGCTGCCCTGGATCCTCAAGTCCAGCTGCTCCGAGAGCGCCCGAGGCGCGCGTCGAAGCTCGCGTCGTCCAGTCGGGAGGGGAGGGGTTCATGGGGTTGGTGCGTTGTGGAAAACCGGGGCAACCCCCAACCCGACACCATGAAAAAAGCCAACAGGTGGAATCAAGCCAAAGATAGAACCACCATGAAAGTACTTGAGCTCATACCTTTGGGAGGTGGTTCCTTTGAATCCCCAGGAAGGACCCCCAATTGGAATTCGAGCCGCTTTTCTAGCATGTATTTGTTTGCAATTCAGGATTTTGTGACATGTCTTGGGGTCCTCAGTTGGGCTTTGTTTTGCTGGAAAAGATGCCGGGCATAAAACGGGCAAACAAATCCGGGCAACCATTGGGAATTCCTGAATGGATTTGGTCGCCAAACCAGCAAATTTAAGATAGCTTCTTTACAAAAAAGTAAGGGCAACCAGTCACACAAAAGGGGCTGCCCACAAGAGGCCCTGATGCGTGACCGTTTTGGGATCCTTTTTAGTATCCAACCTTGTTGGGGGTTGCTGGAGAAACGGGCCTTGGCCTTGGCAGTACTAAAGTAGAATTGGCAATACTAAAGCAAGTACTGTCCCTCCCAGACCCCCAGGATTTTCCCTAAAGAGGGTCCAGCTGACTGGTTGCCCTGTTCAGGGGGGGAGCTTCCAACATGATTCAGGTGGGGAGATGCAAGGAGGGGGCAAACAAAACAAGCTGAGCTAGGTTGAGGTCCGTGCAATGTCGGCCATCACTATATTTATATAAGGAGGTTTGATGTTTGGCTCAGTTGTTGTGACTGTCTCCGGGAGTTATCAATAGTCGAAAACCGGAGTCATTACGTCAAAACCGGTAGCCGGACAATGGCAAAATGATTGGGCAACTCCCTTTTTACGGACATCCCCCCCTTTATCCACCTTTGGAGCGGGTTGAGATGTTCTTATAAGCAGTGGGTTGTAATTCAGGTAATCAAAAACGCGGACTCCCCTTTTCAGGTCCCTTTCAAAGCATCGAAAGACAGTCCCCACCCGCCTTCAAGATCCGCCAGAACGAAGCTGCAGTGCCCCTGTCTTCCAAAATGTGGGCCAACCCCCTGGGAAAGTGTGCGGCTTCTCCAGAGAATGCTTGCTGAAGAGTATCGTAGCAGGATCCGAGCAACCAGAGGAATCCCTTTTTTCCCCCTTTTTTGCGCATATCCCCACTTTTGCTCTGGAAACGCCCCCCCCCCCCTACTCCTTGGACCCTCTGCCGGGCCAACCAAAAAAAAATTCGGCGGCCTCCTCCGCAGGCAGCGCGCTGGTGGGCACCTTGTCGGCGGTGGCCTACGCGGCGGTCTTCGCCTCCATCTCCCACGGCACCTCCGGCGCCAAGGCGGCCTTCATCATGGCCCTGCAGCGCCTCGAATCCGCGGAAGGGAAGCGTCGCAGAAGCGGAGAGAGGCCGGTTTTTGGTGGCGTCGCAGGGGGGTCGTTGGGAAACATGGGACACATTTGTTTGGTAGTTTTCCAGGGGAAGGCAAAGGCCTTTTCGTGTGGTTTTGTTAGGGCTCTGCGTTTTTTTTTTGGGGGTTGTGGTGGTCGTTGGGAGACATTTTAGGGAACGGGTAAATGGGTAACCGCCCCAATTTTCAGGGACGCATAGAAAGCATGGTGATTGTTGGGAAACATGTTTTCCCCATGTTTGCTTATTTGTGGTTGAGTGGCGGAAATCCAAATCCACTTAACTGCTAAAAAATGAGAATTGTTGCTCCCCTTTCAACGTCAACCAAGCGGCCCGCCCCCTGAAAAATGGAATTGGGGGAGGGGGGTGATCAAATGTCTTGCTGGTGCCATAGGCAGGGAATGAGGGAATGACTAACCAAAACCCCTACGGTGTCCTTTATTCGTTGGAATCTGCAGGAATTCATTCCAGGGGAAGGGGGGTGACCCCTGGAGATCTCCATGTATGGTTCCATTTTCCCTTTGGGGAAGACTAGACAAATGGAATCGGGACCCCCCTACCCCTCCCCCCAAAGGTAGGGGGGATGCGAAAGGAGCGCAGAGAAGGAACCCCAACCTCTCACCCGTTTCTTTTTTGGTTGGGAGGGAAACCCCCCACTAAAATCGACAAACACAGAAAAAGTGGGTACCCTGATTCTAACCTCTCTACTGGAGGACCTGGGAGAGGTGGGGTGGGAGGGGTGCGGCGGGCTGGGCTTCCGACACGGGGTTCGGGCGGCGGCAGTTGGCCCAAACTGGGTCTTAGCGACGGTGGAATTTGTGTGGGTCATACACCTATCCCCCCCTTCCCGCCCTGCCGCTGGTTTTTGTGTCTCCAATATTGATGCGCAAAGATCAAACACGTCGGGGTGGGGTTGAGCCAATTTCGGGGGTGCAGCGGCGCCAGCGGGAAATGCATGGGGAGCCCTGGCTTTAGGGTTCCCAAACAAACCCTAAAGGAAACCCCAACACAATCGCCCAGAGGAACCCGAGCTGAGAACTGTCTCTTCCTAAGGTGGCTGCAACCAACATCAATGTTAAAACACCTGACTCCCACCCACCCACCCACCCACCCGCCCCCAAAAAAAGCAAAGAAAGTTTAAACTTATTCAAACACGGTTGTTGTTGTTTTTTCACAAGGGAGCGTCACGCGAAAGTTTCTAAGGACCATCATCGTAGCCTTTTGCAGCTCTCTGGCGGCAAACCGCTTTCAGCTGGGCAGCATCGCTTCAGAGCCCCGGCTGCGGAGAGAACGCCGGAACGATCCCCCAAGAATTCCTTCCTTTTGGTTTCCTTGTGAAACCTTCCAAAAAGGACTAGCCTCGCAAAAAGATCCGAGTTTTTGCCGTTGAAACATCGCCTGTTGGGCCATTTTGCATTGGGAGTTTTCTCTGAATGGGGTGGTGTCTAAAAGGAAATATAGGGAACCCTGTGTTGGGCTTGTGCTAGGGCACCCGTGATTCACCCGGATAAAGTGTTTGTAGGCGTATTCCAACTCACCTGTGATTTTTGTTATTTGAAGTGGGCAGATAGTAGTCTTGGGTGAACCTCTTGGGTATTGTGACAAGCGGTGGTCGGGCGGGACCAGAAAAGGCGTTTGTCTGCTTTTTTGGTAGGCAGGTGGTTTTTTTTCCCGGGACACATGAGCCACAATCCATACAATGGGCACCTTGGCCGCCGGTTCTGGGATTCTTGAAGCATGGTGTTGGGACGACCATCGAAAGAAAGGATCGGTGTTAATTCCGACTCAGGGCGCCAACATGAATTTTGTCCTGGTTTGGTTTGGTGGAAACGGGGGAATTGAACCCCTTCTCGAGGGTACTTGAGGGTCAATGCCAAACCACCCATTCGGATTTCAATTGTGACCCACATGTGCTTTCGTCCAAAAGGCGAGCCCTTTGCACCGTCGAAAGCTTTGAGGGGTTGCTTTCCTCGAGCCCCTGCAAGCCTGTTTAGCCCGAGGAGCCATTCCTTTGGGCTTGACCTCCAAATGGCGAGCGAACGAAAGAGTGGCTTTCCTGTTGCCCTTTAAGGCCACCCCAAGGGGACACTCCAACAAGACAATCCCACAAGTTGCCCTTTTGGCTGTACCTGACCAGCAAACAGTCAGGGTTCGCGGTCCGCTCAATTCTATGTGGCGAAGCCGCGGAACAGGACGCGGGAAGGAGTATTTCGCCCAGGGAAACAGGGCAGCCTTTGAGAGAAGCGGCCTGCCAACGTTGGTGCGCGGGGCGAACATGTCCAGTTTCTTTCTTGGCTGGCTACGGCAAGTGTGGCAAGCCACCCGTTTGTACGGACCAACAGTTTGGGGGAGTAGAAGAAAGCTTCTTGGAGTTCCAAGTACTTTAGATGGATTTTACCCTACTTCTTCCTTTTTCCTTTGTGGGGCAAACTGCTCGGCTCCAAACGGAATAGTTCACTGGGCAACTGGGGTGCACATTGCCCCGTTGGCCATGAAATGAGGCCATGTGAGGGTTGTTCAACATGGGGCCCGGCCCTTCGGGTGCGCGATTCTTGTTTGGCGGGCCCACCCAAAAAATCGAAAACCATCCACACAAAGCAAAAACCACAATTTGTGGGACACTTTTTTTTGTTGTCTGGGCTCTTGCCCCGTGGGGCTCAGGGGTCCCAAAAGGGTAGTTGGGCAAAGGGGAAGATGAAGCCAAGCACCTGCAGATGGCCCACATCTCGGGTACGCCAAAAGGAGACCCCAGTCAAGGTCAATAGGTTCCTCTATATTTTCCTTTTTGTTTGAACACCTCAGCCATTTGGATCAAGCTGGAAGTCAATTTGAACTAAAGGTCTACCCCTAAAGGTAAACAACAACTAGTAAAATGTTTTTTGGATTCATAGGGGTCAATCGTTTGGGTTTGTCTTAAAATAGAGGGACCCTCTCCCCGCCAAAAATATATATCAACAATCATCATGTGGTTGTCCTTTGGCTTCTCTTTTCAACCACCGAAACGGGGCAAATCCGAAAGAAAACGGCGAGCCGCCGAGCCGCCCATTGGGAGAGCTCTCAGGCGGTGCTGGCGCTCTGCGGCATCGGGCTCTTGGAGCTCGGTGGCGGCGCGGAGGCGGCCGGGAGCGCCAGCGAGGGGGACATGCTCTGCATGGCTGCGCCCCTGCTGATGGGCCTCAGCAGCGCGGCGAAAAGTGTTTTGAAGTTTTTTTGTGGACGTTTGGAGTGGGACCCCCCCACATTTGTTTCAAACTTGAACCCAAAAACCGGTTTCGAGTTCGTTCTAAACCAACATTGTGACTAGAACCCGAAGATGTGTTTTTTCCAAACCAAACTCAAATAGAGTTGGATGTTGGGATGTTACATATATTGGCCTAGATAGAATAGTGGGCCACGTTTAAACAAGCTAGGTCCTCGTCATCAGACAGTATGTGTCATCAGACAATATTTATGATTGGTTCGCCTCTGAAATAAGCTATTTGCTCAGAACTACGGTCTAGCAATGGGTCTCTCACCATGGCTAAAGGAAGTACAAGCACTAACTTGTGGTTGTTGTTCTACCCCTGCAAATGAAGCAACAATGGTCGTTTCTGGTGGATACTTGGATGCCGGTGAATACTGTATCACTGGGGGTATATGTGGGACAACAGGGGTTGACTTCCAACTTTTGCTATTCTACTTGCAAACAACCTGGACCCTCAAACTACCCTGATAAAGAGAATACCCCAACGATGGGGTGAATATTTTGTTTTGTGAATTCCATTTGTTGGGGGTAGTTTGAGGGTTCAGGTAGATTGACCGTCCATGTATTGCCCATTCAGCCAAGCGTCTCGCATTTCCCACCCGAGGTTGGCACGTGCTGGGAAACCACATGCGCCAGTACCCGCAGGCTGGGCGTGTTCGTTAGATGACCCTTCATTTCCCGGCTGGTTTGATAGGGAGATGCTCATTCGTAAGCATTCGTGTGTGTGTGTGTGTGTGACACATTATTGGGTGGAAGAAAGTCGCCCATCTTTGGAGGTGCTTGGTACTTGGAGATTCCAGTGTGACATCTTGTCGGGCTTGCACACGAATCAACTCTTCAATGCAAAGGGGCCCGTCACGGCCACTGCGTCGAGTGATTTTTTACGGCTGAGAGTCGCAACCAATGCAACTTAATAGGTGGAGCTTCCCCCAATTGGATGCTAGGTGTACCAGCTTTTGCTGGTGCTCCACATGAATTCCAGCTCCTTAGATGGTCCGGGACTTAGCTCAGTGCTTCGGAAGCCCCAAATTCACCTGTCGGCGCCAACTTTTGACCAGGGTTACTCACAACTTTGGCTCCCCAGACCATCGGCCTGGGTTCACAAGCTTGGCTATAAGCCCAGACAATCAACGAAAAGCAAAAGAAGAAACAACAAAAAACACAACACAAATCAAACACCGACAAAACACAACAACAACGACAACAAAAACGGGATCCGTTCCCGTGTCAGGATGCCACGCCGGCCGTGGCCATTCAGTTAGCCGCTTGGCCAGTTCCCGGGAATTTTTCGCTGCGTTGGCTTCTCGGGTGCCTGGCCTCATCCGGAGGTCTCCTCCAATATGGATCTGCCTCTTTCAGGGTACCTGGACCCTCGAACTACCTACTTGAAAGGGAAGTCACTCCATTTTGGGGCAATCACACATGTTTAAGTTGGTATTTTGAGGGTCCAGGTGAGCCTTTTTGGGATGGGTCTTAAAAGAGAAACCAAAAGGAACACCGCCATTCTTTGAGGGTCCACAAAAAAGCAAACCCATGTTTCAGCTTGCAGGTGTAGACTACGTATTTGAAACAGATCTTGAATGTAGTAGTTTGTGAGCACCCCAGATGTGGGCCAAGTCCAATCATGGAAGCTGACAGGGGAGGTTGGAAGATTCTTCTCTTTTCGGAGAACCCTTTATCCACTTCTGTCCACTTCCAATTTGGCTTGGGTTTTGTGTCTTGCCCAAAAAAGAAACCCACCGGGGACGTAGTAGTTTCCAAAGTCAAAATTGACACCCAGTTTTGGAAGGGTAATCAGTCCTTTTACTTCGGTGCATTCAGGTTGGACCCAACTGTTTGTTGGGCAAGAGGTCAGCAAATCAAGGCCAGGTTGCGATACTGAATTCTTAGTTGATTTGTTGATTCGAATCAAGTGAGTTTTGCCAAACTTGTCTCGGACAGTCCTTTTGGAAATGTTTTTGTTGTCCACGTCCACGGCTATTCAAGGGGTGCGGCGGATTCCTTGATATTGCAAGTGAACCAACTGTATGCAACCATGAAATACGGATAAGTAATGGATTATGCTCCCACCTGCAATAGTACAGCTGCCATTTGCGTTTCAGATGTTTATGTTTCTATCACTGGGAACTACTGCCATTGGAGGTAAAGGAACCAACCGGGGGCAGATCCGCGTGGATGCCCAACTTGTCAGATTTCCACAGCCCCTTTGGCTCCCAGCCTCATTTCAGTCTTCAACTCGTGAGGGGGTTAAATCCTTTGACATCAAGCGCAAGCCTATCGTTTCTTTGTTGTCCCTTGGAGAATCCACCGGGTTCCGGGTTGCTGGTCCCAGCCAGTCTGGGGCAAGCAGATTTTCATGGGAGCCCCATGTCTTTCAGCGCGTAAACGGATCAAGAGTCGGTTTCTTTGTTGGCTTCGAAGGCAAATGCTTCCCGGGCTTTTTGGCTTTCTGCAAACCAGTCGATTGGTCAATGTGCGGTTCTGGATGGGATTTGAGCGCATTGTTGAAAGTAAAGAGGAAGCAAACCAAATCAGCGTCTACGCCAGACAACCCTTTCACGGTGCCCTTTAAACCTTGAGACGAGCAGTTTAGGCGGCAAGGTGTTTCCTTTTTGGTTTCCGACGCCCACAAAGAACCTGCGGGAGGGTACCTAAAAAAGATCACTTTTCTTTCGGTTTAGGTACCCCATGTCAGGTGCCATGGAAACATGGAAAGGTGGGAGGGAGGGTAATTTGTAGATTTTGATGTTCTTTGCCCAGCCCAGCAGTGCACCGTGGCAGTAAACAACACATGCCCCGTTTGCCGATTGAGACTTCGAGTTGTAAAGCGAAACCGTCCCCCCCCCTCCAACAACAAAACTGAACAGAAGCAATATTCAAGTTGTTGTTGTTTTATTGGTTGACTTTCATTGGCCCAGGTTTCGCCTGTTGTTTCCTCAGGTTCTCGTTGTTTTGTTCAGTGGGGGAGAAAAAAAAACAGTGGCGAGGCCTGCTTCGCCTTCGTCTTCGTCTGCTGGACCGTGCTGGAGCAGATGTCCCTGCACGGCCTGGAGGGCGTGGCGCTGCTGGCGCATCGGGTGCCGCAGCTGCTGGAGGTGTTTCTCGGCGGGAGAACTCGGGCGTGGGGGCGTGGGGGCGTGGGGGAGTGGGGGAGTGGGGGAGTGGGAGGGTGCAGCAATTGGTGCCCTTTTACCCTTTGGGGGAGGGTTCCCCTACTTAAAAAAGAACAAACGGATTGAGCAGAACCCCGGATTTGAGTGGGGGAGTGGGAGAGTTACTAGGTGCCCCAGCGGTTAGTGCCCTTGTACCGTTTCTTTTTGGGTTGGGAGGGTTCCTACTAAAATAGACGATGTGAACCGCGGATTTAGCAGAAGCCCTGGTTGATTTTGATTTGGGGGGTGTCCCCTTCTAGTGGGGATTCAGACCACTTTCGGAGGGGGTTTTCTCCCCCCTAAGAATGGGACGGGTTTTTCTTAATCCTGGGTCAACATTCGTGCCCCTTCTATCCCCTTTTTTGGCTGGGAGGGTTCGGGACCCTACTGAAATAAACTGCAGAAAACAAGGTTGGTACCAACTTCTAAGCTCTTTACTGGATCTCTTGAGTGGCTCGGACCCTGGAAGTTTGGGCCGGGGGACTCCCCGAGACATGTCGAATTCCAGCGCCCAATGGTTGTCAATTGCTACCCAAAATAGCCGTGGTTGTCAACACCAATGGGATCCCATTTTACGGGTGGGTGAATTCGCCACCCATTTTTGTGTATGTTAGTGGGGATTGGGATGTTCACTGGGGGGTACGGGGTTTTGACCCATGGCCAAATGGGTCACACAAGCGCAGTTCAGGTACGAGTGGAAAAGCCACCCTTGCGTGCTGGTTGATGCTTTCCCGTACAAGGGGTGAACCGCCCCCTTTTTTCATTCCTCGGCAAAGACGCCAATGGAGCTCGCCTGTGTGCTGTATTTGTTTTTAAATTATTATTTTCCCTTCCGGAGAATCATTGAAAAGGAGTTTTGGTGCCCTTTGCTTAGTTTGGTCAAAACCCCTTTTTTCAGATTCGACAAGTTTATTCCGTAACTTTCTGGACTCTGGTAATTTGTTGGGTCTGGACCATTCTAGCAGACAAAAGGTTCCAGGACTTATGGTCAATCCTCTCAGCCAAAAAGAGGATCGTGTCTTAACCATGTTTAAACAAGCACATCACCTTTGGGTTCCATTTCAAAGTGACTTTCCTTCTCTCACTCCCAGAACGTTTCCCGACTTCATGGGAAGACCACAGTGTTAAACAGAAAGTTTCGGCCTCAATGGGCTTCCAATTCTTGGAAGTCTCTTGAGAATGGGCTAATTACGGCCAAGTTTGTGGACCGAAAAAAGAATGGGTCATTGTTTTCATCAAGTTGGCATGGTCTCCCAACGGGATCCCAATTGTTTGGCGAATTCACTCGATCGGAAGAGAGTTTTGGTTGACTCGGTCAGGCCGAACCTGGTGCCCGCCTTGCTCTTCTCAGCCTTCCTGGGGAACACTGCGCGGAGCCCCGGGTTTTCTGCGCTTGGACAGGAAGTTGAAAGGACATGGAAGGCATCTTTCCGTCGATTGAATTGGGTTTGTGTTGGGGTGCTGCCTTCTTTTTTTGGGGGGGGGCAGGAGGGGGGCTGACCTTCTTTCCGAGAACGATCACACCCACTTGCATGTGTTTTCTCAAAGCGCAGACGGACTGGGCAAAATCTGAGCGTATATGTCTCGTATGCGTTCATGGCTGGCTGCAGCAAAACGCAAGCACTCAGAAGGTACTGGCACCAGGCTTCAATTGACTGTAAGCTTCCATGTGCCGGGCTTCCAAGATCTTGGAACTCAAACTGGCTGTCCAAAAGGCTTTGGGACAAGGCTTCGTGACAATTGCGTGTCCAGATGGAAAGCTCCTGGACACTGAACGGTCTTTGAACTACGGGAAAAGCAAAACTTAAAGTCCCCAACGCTGCGCGCAAGTGTGTCGCAAAAAACTGGTTCCGGAACAACATGACTTTATGCGGCAATGCTGCTCGCCCGCGTGTCTCAGGAAGTAAAGTTCCGGAGTTGAGTTGTGTTTTGCCAAAGCTGTGTGCCCGTAAAAGGAGACCAACCAGTTGTTCAAAGTCACCTTCCCTTTCTTGGTTGGCTGCTCCCCGAAATATGGAATCAACCAGCTGCTATACTCAACTAGCCCTGTGGACGAACTCCTGCACCACTTAAATACCCCGGTTTCGGATGCTTCCCCTGCAAATACCAAACCAACCTTGGCTTCCCATGGTTTCAAAGTGGTGCGAACGGATTTCGCCCATCAGTATGCACAAAGTTCCCTTTCGCAGCACTCGGCTCATGGAATCGATGGGCTCAGGTCACCTACCTCCTGTGCAACTGCACCATGAAGCACCTGAAGGCAGATGAGGCGCGGCGTAGCAGCGGCGGCGAGCAACTCTACAGATTGGGGTAAGACGAGCGGGCTTGCAGATTCCGTGTGTCCGTGTGGGCTTTGTTACTGCCACGAGGGTTGGTGTAGGAAACCAAAGAAAAGTCACCCACAATTTTCACACATACCCATTTCAGAAACAGGGCTCCTTAAAAGATACATTTTGCCCATTTGAAACATGGCTTTTTCCACCAAAAGAAAGGACACCTTCATTTACAAGGCAATGTTCAGGTGTCTAATGCAAGGATCCCTAAGAAAGGTGTGCCCTTCCCTTCTGACCCTGAAAACACTGAGTCGTTCTTGGTATTCCTTTTGGTTTGCCGGCATGTCTGTTCTGCGCAAGCCATCGGAACCCGTTCACAACCCGCTGTAACTTGTTTCTGCACAGTTCTTTGCATTTCTTTGAGTTTTGTTCGTTTCTCGGCTCTGTTCCCTTCCCCGTGGCTACCAGCAACAACTTCTGTCTGCTTGCGCAAGGTTTGGCAGGTGTAGTCCAAAGCAACTGGTTTGTCAGCGCATACTGTAAGGTTTGGCAAGTCCAGATGTCGAACATGTCCGAGCCGTGACTTGACAGCAAACCGGTCCCAACTTCCATTTGCTTAAGACAATGCTTGTTTTCTCCTGTTAGTTTCAAAGGGAATCTATGACTACTGGGCACATCTTTCATTTTTCAGTGGGCGCAAGCAAGTGGAAGCCGCGGATCGCAGGTGTCGCTGCTCTCGGCCTCCGAGCCGCTCTGGGCCGCGCTGGTGGCCTCGCTGATGCTGCACCAATCCTTGGCGCCCTCAGAGCTGATGGGAGGCGAGCCGAGCGCGACGCGCGAAGCGAATGGCTTCGACCCGGGGGTGGTGTGGTGCCTGGTTCTCGTTGGGATTTTTTGGGGGAGGTTCTGCCTGGAGTCTCCATGACCCTTAAAAAATGGGTCCATGACCCCATTATTTTGGGTAATGACCCCATTTTTAAAGGGTCAGAAGGAGACTCAAGGTGGACTCAAGGCGTTGCGTGCCCCAGAAGTTCTGCCTCAGGTTTTTGGGGGAGGTTCAAGGAGGTTTCTGGACATGCTCGAAGCCTCAAACTACCTGCAAAAGGAATTCACCAACCATTTTGGGGCTGATTGCCCTTAGGAATTGGTGTTTGAGGGTTCAGGTTCTTTGTTTCCCAGATGCTTGGTGTGGTTGTTTGGGCGTGTTCAGGGGAGTTGCGCGCGCGCGTGCGCGCGCGCGCGCGTGCGCGTGCGCGTGCGCGTGCGCGTGCGCGTGCGCGTGCGCGTGCGCGTGTGGGTGGGTGTGTGTGTGTGTGTGTGTGTGTGTGTGTGTGTGTGTGTGTGTGTGTGTGTGTGTGTGTGTGTGTGTGTGTGTGTGTGTGTGTGTGTGTGTGTGTGTGTGTGTGTGTGTGTGTGTGTGTGTGTGTGTGTGTGTGTGTGTGTGTGTGTGTGTGTGTGTGTGTGTGTGTGCGTGCGTGCGTGCGTGCGTGCGTGCGTGCGTGCGTGCGTGCGTGCGTGCGTGCGTGCGTGCGTGCGTGCGTGCGTGCGTGCGTGCGTGCGTGCGTGTGTGTGTGTGTGTGTGTTGCCCTGATGTTGTTACTTCTGTTCGGATGTTGTCTTCTTGTTGTTTTCTGTTGTGTTGGGTTTACTTCAGTTTATCCAAGTTGCTTGTGTTGTCTGTTCCATTTTTCCCATGTGCCTGCTGTGTGTTTGTGTGTGTGAGTGTGCGTGTGCGTGTTTGGGTTCCTTCCATGAAGTACCCTCTGTGAATCTGTCCAACCATCACGGAAGTGGACATTCCCCAAAAGGACAATCGTCCACCAGCCTCTCGTCAGCTTCCATGATTCTGGTAAGAGGGTTTTGTGGAGGAGGTTCAAGGCAAAAAAAAGGACGGTGGCTTCCTGGTAGCCGCCGTCGGCAACTGTCAGTTTGTTTTTCTTCTTTTCTGGATGGAAAACCCCTTGGTTACAAGCCCAACACCTGATGGACTAAGTATGTCACCGCATCAGCACATGGTTGTTGTTGGGAAACACTTTATGCATCTTTGCTTATTGTGGTTTAGTGGGAAATCTCCACTTAACTGCTAGAATTTGATTTTTTGCTTCCCTTCCAACGTCAACCAAAAACAACACATATTTTTGTTGTACCCCTGAGTTGGTCCGAGCAAATTCTATGCAACGCGCTAGCTGGATGTGTTTTCCATCAGAGCGAATCGAAGGTGCCCTGGTGGTGGCTGGCATTGTAGCAGCCGAGCCGCCTGGCACTGAACCCCTAAGCCTCCGTATATATGGGTGTGCAGTGTTTTTGGGCTCCCCTTTTGGTTGGCTTGTTTTGATCTGTTGGCTGTAAAGGAATTTTATGACTGGAAATGGGTGTGTCATTTTTTTGGGGGTCCGCGTTGGTTGGTCTTAAAGCGAAACTAAAAACAAGTCAACCATATTTGGAGGGTTCCTCTATTTTTTAAGAGGCTGTCTAAGAATTGGAATTGACTTTGAGCCATTTTGCCTGTTTAGGTTTCCAATTTCCCCTTTCAACCAGCGAAAACTGATCACTTGTTGCGATTCTGATCTGTGTGATCAAGCATATGAGTGTTTGTTGAGGTATGCGTTTGGGGTTGGTTTAAAAGGGAGACGAAACTCGAGCAACCCTTTTTCGGGCCCCCCTTTTTTGGCACATGCGTACCAAAAATATGGAGCCACTTTCTTTGACAACATGAGGATCCGCAATCGAGATCTTGGGGTGTTTCCCGTTGATTGAGGGTCTTGTTTCGGGAAAGCTTTTAAACATTACCCAAACTCCCACAAACATGGAAGCTGACAGAAGGTCCGTTTTAAAGCAACACTGTCTTCCAGGCGCCCCCAATCATCTTCCAAGTTCCATGTTAGATGCCACGGATTGGCATGTCCTTTGTATTTTTTGTCGGGTGGCAGCGTGTTTTCCTCAGGTGCCGCGGATCGGCAGGTCCTTTGTCCAGCTCACTGTCGGCCCAAGGCTTTGGTCTGAATCGGAGCCGGAGAGCGGCACTCTCAAGAATCTCAGCGCCGTGTGAGCGGCCGAGCCCCGCGGCGCGCGGGGCGCGGCGACGCCCAAGGCCGGCGGTTGGTTTATCGATGTCCGGGCGCCGGTTGTTCGCAACCTACAAATGCCTTTTCAAGGGAATGTTTCTTTTGTTGATTTCGGATTCTTGACTTGGATCATGGGATCCATGGCCAAAGGAGCGTTTTGCTAGCTAGGGATTGGTTGAGAGGGTCATAAACCCCAAAGTGACGCATGCTGGATGGAACGGTTTGATCATGGCACATGTGACCCATGCTAGATTTCACCTTTCCTTGATATGGCTATGTATGAATTTGAATATTGAACCACCTTACAAGTGGCATTGCTTGGTGGGCAGCATGATTCCCAACCCAAATGATGTCCAGCAAAGGGTCCCCCTACAAAACAAAAATACAAACCAGCTCAGAGCCATTGATATAGGTGTTGCTGAGTTCCTGTTTTCCGCGTGATCAGTTTGTCAGCGCTTTGTTATCTTTGTTTGGTTTCCCAGGGCAAGCCGTGAACTGGATTCACACATGGCCATGAATGTTGCTTGGGAACCCCCTTATACGATGGCAGAGTTTTGTTCATTTGTTTTTTGCCGACGTTTGTTCATGTGAGCCTTGGTGGACTCAACAGTATTGTTTGACTTATCATTAGCATGTTACCTGTAGTAGCAATTGTCATGACGCTGCTCGAAAGTGGCGGGTGGCCACCTATTGTTGATTTTGTTGTTTTACCCACTGCTGTTCAGCTCTGTTGCATTTGTTCTCAGTTGGTTTTCTTTTTCCTGCATGTTTCTGTTTTATTTTTAGTCCCCAAATGTCCCCAAGGGTAGATGGGACCGCCCCCGAACACCTTCAAACCACCAAAAAAAAGACTACTGGAAGGAGGATGCCATTCGGCCATTGGAATTCACTTACCTTCTGATTTGCAACATCTCGTGAATTGGCCAATGGTTGTTGTACCTTGGGAACCCTGTGCGAAACAACTCCGATGCCCACAACATGGGCAGTAAAAGAGCCCGCCAAAAGGGGCCAAGTCAAACCAGACACGCTCACGTTTCTTGCTACTGGAAGTCACCCTCTGATTTTGGTGCAATGACCAATGTTCAAGTTGGTATTTGGAAGGTCCAGGTACAAGTAACCCACCACCGACATTTGACGAAAGTCGCCCGCGTTTCCAAGTTTCACCCGCCTCAGGCACGGGCTTCGGCGCGAGCCGGAGCCTTTCCAGCGAGCGGGCCATGGGGCCCCGCAAGCCGGGGCACGGGTCAGTGGTAAAAATCAGCCCTATGGCTCGTTTTTCTTTTGAGTTGGTGCCCCTTTTTTGGTGGTTTTAAAGGACCGAAACGAAGCGCCGAAACCCGTTTTGGGGTTCAAATCCTAAAACAAGCCCGAGTGGTAGCCCCGGCAAAGCTTCCTGGAACGGAATCTTCGGAACTTTGCCTGAAAGCTGCCCAAGCCACCCCTTAGCGCCTTGGTCAGAGACCCCATAGCTGCCAGCTGTTGGGGAGCTATTTTCCAGTGCTTGCAGGCAAGCCACTATAGGTCCAGGGCCATGCAACACTTAGAGGTAGAAAGCCCTTACCCAAGATGATCACCTTTCCATTGCCCGACAGAGCTTTTATTCAGCTATTGCCTTTCTGGATGGATTTCAACAAGCGAACCGACCTGGGGTCAACTTCAAGAGAGACCCATCGCTGACCTGTGTCTCCCTTGCACTCGCGATTCGATTCCGTGGGCCTTCCGCGGCTTCTCAATCCTTTTGTGGCGATCCCGCCGTAGGGGCCGAAGCTTGAGGGTCAGACAGATTCGCGCAGCCAAAGATCAATACCAGCAACTTGTTTTTGTTTCCCGACGGCGCCCCTTTGTGGACTGCTTGTAACAGGAAGCCACCATTGTGGAGAGCCAGTTGTTGAGAGGCAACCCAGAACGTGTTGCTACTTTCCTTATTCGGACCCCAAGTTGTTGGCCAAATGCAGAAAAAAGAGCCCATCACTTCCCCACAAGTCTTTGGCCGAATCGTCCCAAAGAAGCTTTTGGGTCAACAACAACAACCGTGTTGTTTTTCTCGATGAACCCCAGCGGTTAGATATGTTGCTGGTGAAGGGGGCTGAAAGAGCAAAAACGGAAGAGGTGCAGAGCCTGAAAAACCCCTTGACATGAATTGACCGGCGCCATGTCGCTGTCGCTCTAACGGGGGGCTCTAAAAATGAAGAGCAATGAAGCCCGCAGCTTGGTTCCTGGGATCTTGGTCCTTCCCAGCCATCCCCTTGGAGGTTTTAGTTCTTTCAAGGTTGTGTGGTTGGGTGTTCATTTAGATAAGCCACTAAAGGTTGTTCACTGGGGGATCCGAATCAGCCAGAATCCTTGTTCGTGAGTCCTTTGGTCGTCACCCCTTCGGCCCCAGTTTCCCAGTTCTGGACTAGGCCGTGAAAGGTGGCCTAGTCCAGACTGGAAGAACCGGAAGCGTAGCCACGAAGCAAGCTTCGCTGGAAGCACGCAGAACGGTGCCCCTGGATTCATCAGGTTATTTTATCGGGTGTCCCCTGGTTTACTGGGGGTTCACTTCAGAGGAACACCCCAAATCGACCAAATCTGGCCTGTGGGTGTTCGTCGAGGTTCCACAAGGGATCAACGGTTTTCTCACCCTGCTTATAAAAATACATATAATTATATATATATATATATACACCCACTTTTGCGGGTCAACCCTCTGACCAAACAGTTGGTATCATGGACCTCCTGGTGTTCCAGGTACCAACGACGGCGAGGTTCCGGAATATGGCCTTGTGTCACCCCAAAGGTTCCTCCCAAAGTCGTCGACGGAGACCTTCTTCAGTCCTTCTGTGGATGTTTTGAGTGTCGATTTTCCACGTCAATGCGGCCTTGAATCCATGCAAAACCATCAAGAACACAGTGTTGTGCCGCATTTTCCACGCAAAACCATTAAAAGCACAGTAAGGTCCATCATACTGGTCTAAGAGGCTCTGGAGCTCTTCATGGACGATCTTGATAACTTATTGGTTTGGCCGCCGTTTCATGGCGGGGGAAGGGGCTGTTTGAGGGTACCCCACCCTTTGTTTGCCGGCAAACCACACGGACATCCGCAATTTTTGGGCCTTGGGGGCCCTATTTTGACACAGGCCCATGTTTTATCATGAATTTCTCTATGCCTAGCTCCTTTGGCTTCACTTCCCGCGCATCACCCGCGGTTCGCCGCTCGCACGCGACAAGCAAGCGCGCCCGGTCTGAATGCGCACAATCCCGAATCACGCTCCGCAGAACTGCGGTGCGCGTTTTCCACTGCTGAGGTGCCGTGCAGTGATGAAACTTTGAGATGAATAGCTCGCTTCGCAAGTCAAACCATGGTCATCAGTCAGCCGACTCCTTTTCCATAGCCAAAGGACCATCCAAGTAGTGCTTTGCTTGCAGATTCGCAAGGGCTTTTGAGATGCGTTTCTTCGCGCAAGAACTCGCGCGGGGGGTGGCGAACTATGATCTAGTTCACAAAGCTTTGGCCATGTGGGAGGACGAAAAATGTTGCACCGCTTGGGACATATGAAACCCCGTAGATAGGGTAAGCCACCAATCCCAACTGGTGCAAAGCGGATGTTGTCCATCAATATTGACAGTCACGTGGTGAATCCGTTGAAAGTATCTTTGACAGACACAAAACATGGAGTTACAGCTCCAAACAGCAGACCCATATTGACAATCACGTGAATCCGTCGAGTTTCTCATCTCTCGGTCAAAATGTCCTTGCCCCTTTGGGACCTTTGGGACGAGCTCACGAGCTCGAAAAACAATCCAATTGAGGGGACTCACGAAAAGCATGTCCCATGGGGGAACATCGCAGACTTGGTTTCGCATTTGGCCAAGTGTCCAGTTGCTTGTTTTTTTGATCATGACCTATTTTTCAGAAGGTGGTGTTGGCAGTGGATGAACCGCTTTGGACCCGAACTTCAACTCATATCATACGGGCTTCATGGGCTGATTATTTGATATTGGGCATCTCGCGCGATTTCGCGGGGGATCTGGAAGGCAAGCTTCTTGTAGCAGGGATTCTCTTTCAGGTGCCATGTTTGAAGAAGGGGATTCTGAAACCATACCTTGGCGCACCTGAAAGGTCCCCTCTCTCCCCGAAAGGCCTTGTGAGCTGTACTTGGGAGGATACAATTCATTCTGCGTACTTGCCGAGTGATGCCGGCACACTCACGCAGTCTAGGTCTTTGCTTGCCTAGTAAGATGCATGTCTCTTGAGAGTCAGCGAGGCTTGCGAGATGGCCGGAGACGCGCGAACAATGAATTGGCTTGAGTTTCTTTGAGGGTACCCTTTTAACCTTTACAGTCCTTTTGGATCTAGTTTTTGTCTCCCTCTCTGACTTGTAGAGTACTGTGTCAAGAGATCCACGACACATGCCACTCGCACTCTTTGAGTTTGGGGGTAGGTCTACATTTCTACTCAGTGGATCCGAGACATTGTCCTTTGGCTTTCAAAGGGTGGCTCCTTTGGTCACCCACAGAACCAGGCAAATGCCTCTGGGCTACTTAATCAGGGACATCAACCTCCATTGGCTCAACTGATGTTGTTTCAGGCTTGATTTCCCATTCCCTTCTTCCATTTTGCTTCTCAGAAACACTATCTCAAATCTCCTTCCGTCTTTTGCGGGCCATTCCTTTTGCAAGTGCTTTTGTCCTGCTGATCGGTGGATTCCAAGCTTCATTTTGGTTTGGTGGCTTCGGGACTCCTGACACCAAGATCTCCTGTCTTGTCACTGAAAGCTGAGCAGCGATCCCCCAAAACGATTTCCCGTTGGGCCGTTTTAGGAGATGGTGCTACTACCTGGTTTCAGGGGGGGTTGTGGTAAAGCCCACATAAACCGGTAAGTTTTGAACCGAAACGGGTCCCATAGAAGAGCGTGGGCCTCTTGTTTGAATCGGCGCGCCGTCCATGGAGATCCCACTGGTTGGTTGCAGGTTTTGGAACTGGAAGATGTGGGTGGCTCGT